TCCTCACCTTCAGGCGCTCCCTGAAAACCCACCTCTTGAGGGAAGCCTACCCCACCCTCACCTAACAGCCGTTCTCCTTCATTCCTCCTACCACTCCATCCCCCACAGCCACTTCCTCCTGTACCACTATCCCCCCTCCCTCCTAGATTGTAAGCTCGAAAGCGTAGGGCCCTCTAACCCCTCGTGTGAATGTTTGTTGTTGCTGTACTGTTTCATGTATTGTCCCCCCCTCTATTGTACAACGCTGAGCAAACCCTTTGGCGCTATATAAACTCGATGTAATGTAATGTAATGTAATAATTTGGAATAGGTTTAAGTTAGGGATACAGCAAGGTTTTGAACTAGAATTCCTCTCAAAGTACCAATTGTACAAGATGGTTTGCTGTTCCTCTCTTTCCTTCACCCCTAGGAACAATTAGTCCCCAATCTGTCTTCTCTCTCTCCTCTCTAAGATTAGCTTCTGTTCTGTCTCTATCCTCACCAGCCACAATTATCCTTCCTTCTGCTTTTTTGGCCATCATCAGCTTTCACTAGTTTTGCAAAGGTCTATGGTCAAATTTCATGACTCTTCTTTCTCTGACAATCCCCCTCCCACATCCATACGTTGGTCACCTCTAGATCTACCTCCTCTCCCAATGGTCCATAGTTGGTCCTCTCTCCTTCCTGTTCTCAACCTTCCACCCGTGTTCAGTTTGGAGTCTTGCTTCTTCTGTGCTCCCCTGGTTTGTGATTAGCTGGCATTCTGCCCCCTCTTTCTTCACAACCAGAGTCCACTCTGCCTCCCTTTCCATGTCTCCATTCTTCCCTGGACTGTGGCCACAATCTACAAGTGAGAAGGTGATCTTAATTAAAATGCAGCCCAATTTAAAATATTGTCTGATTAGGCAATAATACATACCAGTGCATTATAAATCACTCAGCGACCTAAAAAACCATTTATCCTAAATGAACCCATTCATACTGTCCATTCATATAAACTCAGCAGGTTTCCATATTATCCAAAATTACATAGAATAAATTGTCAGTATAGTGTAATTTCCTCACAAAATCAACCGTGTATTCTTTTCCATTCTCCAGCAATACAGAAAGGCCCCCCAAAAAATTGGAATAATAGTGTAATTCTTTCTCCTTTCGATGCAGGTGAGGTCAGTATGTGCTCATGATTGGGCTAGAGCGTAATCATCTTGATTGCTATACAGTTTAAGTATTTTTCCCTCTTTAGTAAAGGTCAGCAGGATTCCCAGTCTTCAGCCATCAGGGAATTAGGACAAATGTATCAGACACACTGGATATGGTGATTTGTAAAGCCTAGTGAGGTTAGAAAAGGGTGAGGTGAGCCAGCAGATTAATGTCTTATTGGGATGTCGGACTTGCCAAGCGTGAGCAGTGTGCAGGAGATAGATGGGATGGTTCTCATGATCCCTCATCTTAACTAGCACTGTATGTTTAATTGCTTCATCAGTGAAGAAGTGAAGCATTCAATCCATACAAGCCCTTACATACATCAAAGAAACGTACATGTCTCTTGTACATTACTCACAGCACTTGGAGCTTAGAACAGATGGCCAGAGAGGTACAGATCTTCCACAATAAAAAGAAACACAATTTGAGATTCCCATTCTTTGAAATCTTACATAAAGACATGGTAAATGTACATGTATGTGTATATAGGGGTTTGTTACTTTTCTGTAGCTGAGTATATCTGTTAGTTGAACTAAAGATTTTCTGAGACAATATGAAGCTACCAATATGCACCTGAAATTGCTAATTGTCTGACAGTTCCCTATTGACAACAATCTGATCCTCTGATTTCAGCAGACACAGTCACCTGCCCTTTTGGGGTAGAATGAGGGTCTGCTGATAGCCCAGCCCCTCCGCAGAAAGGCATATTCACCTCTCCATGTTCCATCGCTGCCTCCAAGCTTCAGAAGTCCACCCTGATTAAACAATGGCAAACTGTTGATACTTTCATTGATGACATTGCACCAGCAGCAGGATTGCCATTCACTTAGAAAAATGTAGCAGCACACCCAGGGCTTTTTTATCTCAGAGAATAGGTGCAGGAACTCCCCCCTTGTCTCCACCCCCTACCCACCTAAAAGCGCCATCCTTTATTTCTACCACTTACTAATACCACCCCTTTTAGTGAATACAGAACCAAGTATAATTTTTTGGTAATTTGTAAAGAATTTGCTAAAAGCAGCAGTTAACGTAAATAGATCCCCTACTGCCAGCAACAAAAGCACCTCAATACCCTCCAGCAACAATAGGCCCACTCCAGCAACAATAGATCTCCCACCAGCCAGCATCAATAGACCCTCCTGCACACCCCAGCACCCCTTGCCATTATATACATTCAGTGCTGGAGGTGCCGGAACTGCGTTCCCCTGCGTTTGAAATAAAGACCTGAGCACACTAAATATACCAGCATTTTCAATAACTGTATTAGGCCAGACAGACCATAAGAACCAATAGCACAAGGCCTTTTTTTTATCTCCTGCAGGTAAGTAACACTTGAAGGTTGTGTGCCTTCCCTAGCCCTTGACTGGACAATAATAAAAGAAGCAACAGATGAGCTAATTTCTTATTCACCCTGCTTTCTGCTCCTATCAGCATGAACCTTATTAGCAAATGAGCACTGCAGCACAACTGACTGGTTTCTAGTGCTGCTTCTCACTTCCCCTCTCTGCGCTCTACTGTACAAGGCTGAACTGTGAAAGTCTGATACCAAGGCAAATTGCTTGATTGCCCTGCTTTCATTTAAAAAATACAATTAATAAGTAAATTAATTTGTGTCTTTTGTATCTGGATGGAGTTGAGCTTCTAAATAAAACTATACATTTCCTAGAGATAGGTAGCAAATGCTAAAGAAAGTTCTTTATTTACAAAGTTAAGATTTTATTGCATTTTAAATGGCGCTATTTATTTTTTCTTGGAGTTTATCGTTAAAGGGACTAATATGAATGTATAATATGCAGTATATGCAAAGCACTGAGGAAAGCGACACTATATAAGTACCTGTAATAAATAAATAAAGGGGTATTATGCTTTAATTGGTGAAAAACCTAACTAAATTACATTTAGCTAGCTAATGTACTGTGTTTTCTAAACAAATGCCTTCTTTTTTTTCCGAAAATACTTGTTTTTCCCCCTTTTTGGCAGGCTGACAATGCAGTAGCACAACTGAAAGACAAGGACAGAGCATCCTCTAACAGAAAGTGCCGGAACATTGGCTTGATCACCAGGTAATATTTTAGTGAAAGCTACAAATGTAAAATTATTTAAAATGGAAATTACTGAAGGGTTTGTCAATCATGACCTCTTCATTCCTTCAACCCTACCTAATAAAGGCAACAGGCTGTGTGAAATGGGTTCAATTTTACACAAATGTCATTTTATTAAAGTGGTTGTGAAGCCTAAACATTTTTTACCTTAATGCATTCCTTGCATTAAGGTAAAAAATGTTTAGGCTAAAGTGTTACCCCCCCCCTTCCCTATTCTTATCTGAGCCCTCACTGGATCCAGTGCTGTGTCTGTCAGTAGCTGCTCTCTCTTCTTCTCCGCACTCTCACAGGCTAGGGAGAGAGAGCAAGAGCCATTGGTTCCTGTCTCTGTCAGTCAAATCCTGTGATGAGGGAGCAGGGGGTGGGGCTGAGCCTTGCTGTCTGTCAATGACTTCCTATGGTGGCACACCAAGAAGAGGAGGAGCCAGGAGCACCGGCGGGGGACTTGAGAAGAGGAGGTTCGGGGCCAGGTAAGTATAAACCTGTTTGTCATTTTAAAAAAAATTAAAACTTAGACTTCACAATCACTTTAAACAATAACTACTGAATAATTAACAAAGAAAAAATAAATAGCACAAATTCACACTTTACATTTGATATTACCAGGAAAAGGATCTTTGGTTTCGAAATGTTTGAAGTAAACTATATCTCAACTTTGTTCTCATTTCGCTGGGTCAAGGATGTTCCCCTGGGAACTGATCCACAAAGTGACTGCTACATCCAGCAAACACCAGAGAGCTTCATATTATTCATCTTCAATAACTGTATTAGGCCAGACAGACCACAAGAACCAATAGCACAAGGCCTTTTTTATCTCCTGCAGGTAAGTAACACTTGAAGGTTGTGTGCCTTCCCTAGCCCTTGACTGGACAATAATAAAAGAAGCAGCAGATGAGCTAATTTCTTATTCACCCTGCTTTCTGCTCCTATCAGCATGAACCTTATTAGCAAATGAGCACTGCAGCACAACTGACTGGTTTCTAGTGCTGTTTCTCGCTTCCCCTCTCTGAGCTCTACTGTACAAGGCTGAACTGTGAAAGTCTGATACCAAGGCAAATTGCTTACTTGCCCTGCTTTCATTTAAAAAATACAATGAATAAGTAAATTAATTTGTGTCTTTTGTACCTGGATGGAGTTGAGCTTCTAAATAAAACTATACATTTCCTAGAGATAGGTAGCATGCTAAAGAAAGTTCTTTATTTGCAAAGTTAAGATTTTATTGCATTTTAAATGGCGCTATTTAATTTTTCTTGGAGTTTATCGTTAAAGGGACTGATATGAATGTATAATATGCAGTATATGCAAAGCACTGAGGAAAGCGACACTATATAAGTACCTGTAATAAATAAATAAAGGGGTATTATGCTTTAATTGGTGAAAAACCTAACTAAATTAATTTAGCTAGCTAATGTACTGTGTTTTCTAAACAAATGCTTTCTTTTTTTTCAGAAAATACTTGTTTTTCCCCCCTTTTTGGCAGGCTGACAATGCAGTAGCACAACTGGAAGACAAGGACAGAGCATCCTCTAACAGAAAGTGCCTGAACAATGGCTTGATCACCAGGTATTATTTTAGTGAAAGCTTAAAATGTAAAATTATTTAAAATGGAAATTACTGAAGGATTTGTCAATCATGACCTCTTCATTCTTTCAACCCTACCTAATAAAGGCAACAGGCTGTGTGAAATGGGTTCAATTTTATACAACTGTCTTTTTATTAACCACTTGCTGTCTGCCTGCTGTTTATAAATGGCAGGGCGGTGGCACTCCAGGGGCGGGTTGCCATTCATAAATGGCACCCACCATTTCTAGCTGTGCTCGCTCCCTGGGAGCGCGCAGCACTGCGATCCGGTGCCCGCTGGGTCCTCCGGAAACAGTGAAACAGCGATCGTCGGACGGAACGTCTGTACGAGGTCCCGATCATGTGATCACTGATAGGCCAATTAGTGATCACATGCAAAGTAGTAAACACGATGTCACTTGTGACATCATTGCTTACTACGTGTGAAATCTGTGAATGATGACAGAGGTCACATGGTACAAGGCTATTCACAACAGCCTTGTCTGCATTCTTGCAGCCATTGAGAACTACTGAGTGAGCTGTGATTGGTCACAGCTTGTCACATGGTACAAGGCTATTCACAACAGCCTTGTACCATGTGCCAAGCTGTGACCAATCACAGCTCACTCAGTAGTTCTCATTGGCTGCAAGAATGCAGACAGAGAGAAAGAGAAATGGTTGCTTTTACATCCTATATGGGATCTTCATCACCCCCCACAAGTAGTACAGTGTCACCATGGTGACACTGTACTGCTAGGGTGACAGTATGCAAAAAAAAAAAAAAAAACAACATAAATAATAATATAAAAAAAATTAAAACAAATGTTAAAAAATGTTTAAAAATTATAATTTTTGGTTATAAACTAATTTGGCTTATTTTTTTTTTACTAAAAAGATAATGGAATACATTTCGGCCAAGATTTATGATGAAAGATTATTTATTTGCAAAATTTTATAAGAAAAACACTTTTTTTCAAAATTTTTGGACTTTTTCATTTACATAGCAAAAAAAATAAAAATCCCAGCGGTGAATAAATACCACCAAAATACCACCAAAATAAAGCTTTATCTGTCTCAAAAAAATAGCAAAAAATTCAGATGGGTACAGTGTTGCATGACCGCGCAATTGCCCTGGACAGGAAGGGGGTAAAAGTGTCCGGACAGGAGGTGGTTAAAGTGGTTGTGAAGCCTAAACCTTTTTTTCCTAGCTATAAGGTAAAAAATGTTTAGGTTAAAGTGTTACCCCCCCCCTCCCTATTCTTATCTGAGCCCTAACTGGATCCAGTGCTGTGCCTGTCTGTAGCTGCTCTCTCTTCTTCTCCCCACTCTCACAGGCTAGGGTGAGAGAGCAAGAGCCATTGGTTCCCATCTCTGTCAGTCAAATCCTGTGATGAAGGAGCAGGGGGTGGGGCTGAGCCTTGCTGTCTATGTCAATGACTTCCTATGGTGGCACGCCAAGAAGAGGAGGAGCCAGGAGCACCGGCGGGGGACTTGAGAAGAGGAGGTTCGGGGTCAGGTAAGTATAAACCTGTTTGTCATTTGAAAGAAATTAAAACTTAGACTTCACAATCACTTTAAACCACAACTACTGAATAATTAACAAAGAAAAAATAAATAGCACAAATTCACACTTTACATTTGATATAACCAGGAAAGGGATCTTTGGTTTTGGAATGTTCGAAGTAAACTATATCTCAACTTTGTTCTCAATTCGCTGGCTCAAGGATGTTTCCCTGGGAACTGATCCCCAAAGGGACTGCTACATCCAGCAAACACCAGAGAGGTTCATATTATCAGATGTGCTCCCTTTACGTGAAAAAGCCCTTAGCTTTAGTACCATGACAAATAATCTTCCAAATGACTAAAACAAAATGGAGTGGATGGGAGGGACAGTTTCTCAGCTCCACAGATTCTTCTACAAAAATCCACCAATGAAAGCCCCTACGGCTCCTCCTTGCCTAAACTGACAGCTGTCGCATAAAGTACAGCTGTTGTGTTAAACTGCTTAGTCTCTGACTATTTTAGAGTGGGTCATAAACCTTATACATGAAAAATGAACAAAGCACATCCCTCTATAGTGTGTACGTGTCTCAGTTAAGAGCACTAAGTGTCATTTCTATATCTGCTGCATCATTCCTCTGCTATCTACATGAAACATCTGACAAGTTTTCCAGACACCAATAGAAAAAAGTGACAAAGGAGGGATCTATAGCACACAGCCTGTGATTGACAGACACAGCTCTGTTCATGTGTGCTGTGTGAAGAAGGGTGTGTCCCTTCCCTCCCTCCAATCAGCTCTCAAATCTCTCCTCACTGAGCTCTGCAGTGTGTAACTTCAGCTCTCCATCCACTGTTTTCTGAAAGCTCAGATACATTTTATAAATTCTGGACTTTGAATGAAGAAAAAAAAAGGGGTAAATGTATGTAGGAGGATTTTCTTCATCTCTGCGTATCACTTGAGGCTAGTAACTTCACTGGGCATATGTAAAAGTTGACAACCGCTTAAATGCATTCTCTGCATTGAGGTAAAAAAACCTTCTGTTATTAGGATCTCCCAGCCCCCTCCCCCTTATACTTACCTGATCCCAATCTTAATCCAGCACTGTGGCCAACAGCTGTGTCTCTCCGCTCTCTCTCTCTCCCCATAGGATAATCAAATCCTGTGAAGAGGGAGCAGGAGGCAAGGCCAAGTCACACTGTCTGTGTCTATGGACACACGCAGTGCAGCTTGGAATTAAGCCTGCACGAGTGCCACCAGTAGCTTCCTATAGGGGCACTCACCAAAGAGGAGGAGACAGGAGCACAGGTGTGGAACCCCAGAAAAGGAGGATCAGGGATGCTCTGTGCAAAACCCTTCCACAGAACAGTTATGTATGAGCAAACCTTACTGTACAGGCTAGGTATAAATTGGGGTGGTTGCCATTGTTTTGTATACCTTATTCACTAAATTGGTGTGCATTCGATGTCTGTAGCTGCCATTATGCTATTGCTTGGCATCCATTGTGTGCCTGTGCCTTTAAAGAGGAGTGGGTTCCCTCCAGGCAAACCTTCCCTTAATTTATCCATTGCTATATATGCTTCAAACTGGAGACTGTCAAAATTATAGTGTTAGGACCGCAGTATGCAGATGTGCCTTGACGTGGGAACTGCATATTCCACATAAATTTGCAAATGTGTGCAATGAAACACTCTGTTTTACTGTGAATTGTTAGACAGGGTCAATTTGTTTTGTTTTCAGGGTAGCTGGTAGGTGTGCTGGAAAAATTTTTGTTCATTTGTAAGTATGAAATGTTTTTTATCATTAAAAAATAAAATGTTTATACCATTTAAAAAGAAATTGGAGCCAGTATTGTAGGCAACGCTGCCCAAATGGTCCATTTTTTGATGGAGCTGAACAAAGAGTTTACTTACTATATTCCTTAGTAGATTAATGACCATCTTTCATCTCAGAAACTGAAAGATCTTAGTGTAGGAACAAGGAGGAAATTAGCTCATAATGCCAACCAGTAAATGTCATGTTTTATTTTAATGTTTGTAACACTCTATAAAACCTGCCTGGAACCTAGATCCAAATTTCACCTCCCTCATCCTTTACTGTCTATTAAGTCATAAGTGTATTACTGTATTTAAACAAACTGCTTTTTCTGCAATTCCGTATTGCACAACCAACCATTTTTAATAGCTCCTGTTTAAAGGTATCCAAAAAGTCATAGACAATTATATTAGTATCAAAGGTTTCTATCTAAATATTCAAATTGACATAGACAGTAAGCATCAATATCCAGATATCTGCACAGAGGTCTTTAAAGCCAGTATAAAAATAACTATTTTCTTAGTGGCATTGCACACCTTTTTGTGGATCACTTTTCTGTATATTGAAGTCATTGGAAGCCTAGAGAGAACCCGGGGGTATTATATACGCATTAGGAACTAAAAGGACGTGTGCAACTTTGTTTGTGGACCATACGCTGTAGACATGAATAACCATTTTCCATTAGTGTGTCATTAGTGTGTCTGTCTGCTCACCCTAGAGAAAATCCGAAAACCATAAAATCTTCAGATGTTATGGTCAACTTAAGTATTGAGTTTCCATTTCCCCCCAAATTTAGCAAAACTAGGTATACTTTGGTGAATGGCCAAGATGACAGTGTCTCTTTAAAGATATTCTAAGAATTGATTCAAAAGTTATGCCCCACAAAATATATCAATTGAATTGTGTACTTTAGAATTTTGTAACCAGGCATTCACCCTTCATAAGAGAAAACATCTCTACTCCCTCCAAACTACACAAAGTATTACATTTTACGTATTAGAGGATGTGTTTCACAGTTGTAAAAGCCTACAGACAGAGAAGAATGAGCTTTGTGACAGGTCTCATTGAATTTCTGTCTGCCAGGCAATCAGGCTGAACCAGTGGCTGTCCTTTCAAACGACAGAGGCATTTTAGAAAATATCCCCTGAGGACAAAATCAATAAAGTTACTCAATTTTCTGATAGAAGACGCTGTCACCTTCCTTCCTTGTGCCAGCGGTAAAAATAAAAAGGGCTTCCTGCTTCTGCATCAGAGCACAAGTGACTATCAAATGTAAAGCCATCCAAGCAAATGCATCACTTTAGAAATGTGCTAACCTTCCAAGTTCAATTACAGAGCAGAGCCTGAAACTGTTTTAGCTTTGTGTCTTTTTTCTACTTTTGTATCTTTTTTTGTTACATACACCTAAGAAGACATATAATGTTGAATATTTTGGAATACAGGATTAATGGTGTCTACAGGGAGAACAATTTGGGTTTCATATGGTTATCAATTACTGTCTCCCTTGTGTTCTCCTATAGCACAATGAATATAGAGAGACAGAATCTCCTTGGTTGCTATGGACAACAAGAACATCTTGCACCCTTGATCAAGAGGCTTGATTTCAATATTTAGTATTCCCAAGTTGTTCAAAGCAACCTTATTTATTCTATCACTTATATCCCATATACAGTACGATGGTTAGTTTGCTTGCAAATAAATCTTAATATTCTGCTTTCAAATATGAACACTTTTGTATTTATTAGCCTTGATCTTGGTTATTTTCCACTAAAAAAAGTCTGGTCCCATCCTCAACCTATTTAATTAATACAAAATGCCTAAAAGTATTTGTTAACTACAAAGGAATATATATGTATATCTATATACACTATGTTGCTAAAAGTATTGACATCTGTTGTTACACGCACATGAACTTTAGTGGCATCCCAGTCTTAGTCCATAGGGTTCAATATTGAGTTGGGCCACCCTTTGCAGCTATAACAGCTGCAACTCTTCTGGGAAGGCTGTCCACAAGGTTTAGGAGCGTGTCTATGGGAATGTTTGACCATTCTTCCAGAAGCTCATTTGTGAGGTCAGGCACTGATGTCAGATGAGAATGCCTGTCTCGCAGTCTCTGCTCTAATTCATCCCAAAGGTGTTCTATCGGGTTGAGGTCAGGACTCGCTCATCGATGTCTTTATGGACCTTGCTTTGTGCACTGGTGTGCAGTCATGTTGGAACAGGAAGGGGCCATCCTCAAACTCTTCCCACAAAGTTGGGAGCATGAGAATTGTCCAAAATGTCTTGATATGCTGATGCCTTAAGAGTTCCCTTCAACTAGAACTAAGGCACCAAGCCCAACCCCTGAAAAACAACCCCACACCATAATCCCCCCTCCACCAAACTTT